GATATGAGTAGCGTACACAGCCTTACCACAGGTGAACTCTGGCCACAGAACAGTAGGTCTGGCTGAGGTGGAGAAAGAGTCCCTATTGCCTGGGGTGGCGATGTGGGTCGGCTCTGTAGAGACGAGTTTTCAGCTGCCTATAAAATAATATGACGAATGAAAGTGTTGAAGATTTGAATTGATAACAGCTGTGTGCATGGTCTTACCTCTGGAGAGCCCTGGCTGGAGGAAGATGACAGAGGCCTGGGTGGCAGCTGAGGTGGAGAAGGTGGCGCTGGAGGACTCTGGGGAGGTGCGCTAGGCTCATATAGAGCCACAGTAGCTGCAAATACAATATGCTGGTAAAATATTTTATTGAATCATGTAACTGTGAGGATCAGGTAATATATCCATAAGCCTTATGCCGTAGCTTTAAGAGACAAGAAACGCATCGGACGTCTGATTTCTATGAACACTCTTATGAAAAATTCTGACTAGTTTCTCTAGATTTCACATCAAACCACTCTGAATGAAACTGTTTAGATCTTAAAGATTTAAAGGGCTCACATCGTCTTTATTTTTTAATGGAAAAGTTTGATGTAGTTTATAAACATTGGTAAAGTTTAATATTTATCTTTTACTCCCCGTCCAGACAGTCCATATATGGAAACTAAGCTACGAGAGCAGCCTAACTGAATTCATTGTTTTTGTGATGTCAAAAAAAACCCTGCATATTTATGTATATTTATATATTCATAAACAATAACTTAGCCCCACCTCTTTTATCACAGCTGTTTCAGAGCAGACTGCTTTTTGAATGAGGTTAGGGAACCAGCCTTGTGACGGTAGCCGGTTTGATATATATATATATACACAAAACCTCATATTGTGAATAAAATATTGGGCTATAAGATTTGCAAATCATTACATTCTGTTTTTATCTACATTTATTTACATTTTACACAGCGTCCCAACTTTTTGGGAATTGGGGTTGTACTAAGAATGAGTTCATTCATTTTCATTATTCTAAAATTGATGACAAACTGCAATCTTACTTCATCTCTTAAGCGCATGCAAATGCAATAATCAAATACAGATGACGTTTGCTATCTGCCACACAGCTTCTTAACACGAGTGTAGATCATTAACCAAAGACTATGATTTGTTTAAAGGAAATGAATCTACATTTACACTCATAGTTAACAAACATCATCAGCAATGAATTACAGGCTCCATGTCTTATTTAATCATAGAGCAAAGCACCATATGGCTCTGTGTAACGTCGGCTACCCGCTATTCTAATAGTAGATGGGAAATTAAACGTGGCGCCTCTCGAATGTCGGGTGAGCGCAGCGTCTTGAATAAATCATACTTCATGTGATTGTGCTGATACATACTTATAATTGCTATGGGAATATAATTGGGAATCTGTTTTTCACTGAGCGTAAGAGGTTCTACCAAAAGACCCCAGTAATCTCATGTGTCTCCTCTTGAGGTTCGGTAGAGATCTCAGTAAAGTGACTCACATTGCACTTAGATTTACCGAGATAATAAAGCTTATGTTTATCTGCAGCTTAACTCTCATCTCTCCTTTATCTCTCCTGTATCTCACCTGTATCTCCTGTCTCCTTTGTGCCTAATGCTACTTTTCCTAAGGGCTTGTAGGAGGAGCACCATGAAATCTCCTGAGCCATCAAAGAGTAGCATTAGAGTGATAACATCTTCTTCTGGGACTAATTGTGTTGGTAATCACTAATCCAGGGACTTTTTTATGATTAGATGCAAGGGAGAAGTATTTTTTAGTAAAGTTAAAATAATATAAACTATGATCAGTTAATATGCTATTTTTCTAAACATCAACCACCTTCCATCATTCCAAAAATGGCTTCCCCTTAAGTTCATAATTGTGATACGTGGATGTTTATATTGGTTAGGACTTAAAGGGGAATTCCACCAATTTTTTAAAATTTCTGCCTAATTCAACTGCGAAAACATAAACAACATCCTTCAGAGTTGTTTGATGAGAAATAGTTAATCATAGAGAAACACTTCTTTATAGTGGTGGTGATAGGAACCAGGGGTTGCAACGTCTACAACACAATAGTAGCCACTTTAATTACTATCCAAAACAATCACTGAACCTACATGTGTCTTCTGAGTGTGTATATGTAAAGGTGTGATGGGGAAAAAATGTTTTCTTTAGGCACTTTTGGCCTTACAACACCCTGGACGTACCTCTCCACCACAAACCATTTCATCTAATAACTTCCTGTAATGTAGCCTTTAGAGGCATAAAACTCTTCGGATGATTGGGTCTTATCACCATCACTGTAAACAGTTCTGACTTAGTACGTGTCTCTAAAATGTAGCATTATATATCAAACCACTTTGAATGACTTTGCTTACATCTTAACCATTGAACTGTATAGAATTTTTGAAAAATTCTTCTTTAACTGGTCGCCTCAGGCCCTGATAGCTATTACACGGTAAGATGACCACAGCTTTAGTTGTATTCTTATTGGCTATCTGCTCATAAGTGTGTACACATTTCTATTCTTGTCTCAATCTGTCCGACAAGACGCGGTTGCTCGCTCTGCGCTGGATTACGGTTAACATGTAAACAAAGTCATTCAGAGTGGTTTGATGAGAAAAGAGAAACGTACAAAGTCAGATTTATTCACAGCGGTTGTGATAGGAACCAGACGTCTTAAGAGATTAATGCCTCTAAAAGCTCCCTGACAGTGAGTTATTACATGAAATGGTTATGAATACGCTGCCTGATGTCTGAGACACTGTTAAGTGATAGCTGTGAGATAAGATTTAGGCCTGCGACACATCTTTCAATGTATTCATGGCAGGGAGGTACATTAATACCAAATTATTACCTGAAGAAAACTTTTTTTCCAATATCAACATCACATTTAAAACTCAGAAGATGCCTGTAGGTTCACTGGTTGTTTTGGATAGTAAATAAAACGGATATATATTCATTGTAGACATTGTGACGTTTGGTTCCTATCACCACCACTGTAAAGAGATCTGAGTCAGTAAGTGTCTGTACATTGAACCATTTCACATTAAACCACTCTGGATGAGCTTTTTACATTTCAGTGATTACGTTACCTGCATTCACACCGGCAGCGACAAGACATGACAAAGCGGCCTGAGGTCATTTATTTTTAATGATAACTGGCAATTTCTGGCGACAGGAGGCAGTGCAAACATTGGCGACGTGAAGTGGGTGGAGTCAGTGACGTAACAAAGTTGAGCGGAGTTTATGCAAATAAGGCGATTTATGCAAATATGATGAATTGAGCATTGAACCAGAACCTGGCTACTTCCTATTTCCCCCATTATAGTAGTATAGTATAGTTAAAGTAGAAAGTACTTAGAAAGTAGGAGGATGTGTTTCCCTCAAACAAGCAAAGAAAACTCACTATGTTTCCTTTTTTCTACAGCAAACAGGTTTTGGGCAGCAGAAAGTGGGCATTACTGCTGCTGAGCGCTGATTGGTTGGTGAGTGGAACAGCTCATTGGCTGTTCGCGCGCACAGACGTCACGAATGTACATAACTTGAGTTTAAAAGCTCTTAAAAATATAACAGCAGTGTTACAAGGTTTTATCCTGTTCAGGAAATGATTGTATTCTGTTACATTAAAAATGTTTAAGCATTTATAAACTATGATTTTACTCAAAAGCTCCATCTTAACCCATTCATTTTGGACTAGCTTGGGAGCGCCCTCTAGTGTTTGAGCAGCCTGGAAGACATTACAGAGTGGGAATTCTCCTCTCTACAAGTTCTCTGACTGAACAGCGTAGTACACGTTTGTCTCTGCCACTGTGAAACGGTATGCTCCATTTTTGGTTCCTAGATAATTGTTCCTACTACAGGTGGAATAATGGCGGTGGTGCATTAGACAGTAATCTCAAAGACCAAATACTGTTTTCCTGACACAAGGATTCAATAAATATAAGCACACAAGCGATTTCTCACCAGGATCTCTAGCAGGAACGCGTCTGATTTGTGGTTGGCGTCAGTGAAAACATGGCAAACAATGGTCTGTTCCAGTTCAGGAACGCCCACAGGTGACGAGCGACCAGTGATTTCAGTGAAGTCGCTGCCAGTGTGAACGCAGGGTTATTTGGAGCCCCTAAGGGGCCGTGGTTAAAAAAAAGTTAATGACATTGTGTTTCCTTGCAAATGTTTTGCATTCTCTCACAAAAACGCGGTCCCTCGCAAAATATATGCTTGTCAGACAAACAAATGTAAGACCAGAGATGACCAACGACATTGCTTACATTAGAGCTTTGTTTTTAGCATAGCTACCGTTAAAAGCTGAATGTAGTTTTTACTGTACGAGGAAACTCGACCTCAGTTTCAGTTTGAGTCACTAACAGCAGAATCATGTTTGATTTTGAGAAGCGACACGTCTTTATATTTCAATCCAAGATCAACATGAAATTCAATGAGCTGCTTCGTGTCTGAGCTTAAGCAGAGCACAGCTTTTGCAAGCGAATGCAAACAATTGCATTATAATGCAAAACATTTGCAAGGGAACGCGAAACATTTGCAAGGGAACGCAATGTCATTAACTTTTTTTTTTAACCACGGCCCCTTAGTGGCTCCGTAGGGTTACACTTGAATTCCCCATTAAAAGTTAGTCACCAGGTATCTTTGTAGCATGTGTGTGGGGAGGCAACTCATATGAGTTAGTAGGTGAAGTGGCTCTTGGTAAGTAATTAACTAAAAACCATTAGTTTTTGAGTAACTGACATAATAAATAAATAAATAAATAACATTTTTTTGGATGGGGAACCATGATTTAAGCTGATTTAAGGTAGAAAGGTCCCTGATATTAAATAAATGAATCATTTGCAGGCCTGTACTCTAATGCTCCAAGGCCTCAGAGCCCCAGTGCTTCTTGTGTTATACAGCAATCACAAATCTCACTCTCAGTGACTTGCAATATGGAACTTTATCATTTATTTAGTTATTAATTATTCAATCACTTTTGGCTTTTTTTTTTATTCAGCAGTCACAATACATTCAGCTTCAGTATATCCAAATAGAATAGACATGTCACACAAAATATTTAATATCACATTTCATACAAAAATCTAAATCTTTTATAAAACATTTAGACATCATCTAAAGTCATTTAATACAGTCATCTCAATTTTCTGGCAAAAATTCACTGAGAATAAAGAAAACACTTGTTAAAATACATATATTAATTCTGTCCAATACATTATTTAAAATATTTTTGTTGTTGTTGTTGTTTACCACAAAACACACATATAGGAGAACCAGAGAACTTCGGGTCGCAGTGATGCTAAAGTTAACTAAAAGGGCTTGAAGTGTCAAAGGGTACACAATTTGTATTCGCTCTCTGTCTCTATCTCTCTCTCTCACACACTCTCTCTCACTTCCACACATTCTCTCTCCCTCGCACACTTTGCACTTGCTTCCTGCCTCCTGGTGGCCGTAGAAATGCAGTGCATTAGCGTCCGTTGTTGATCACTTCACACAAACTGAACCCAAAACTACAACACCACTACAATTCTCTGTGGTCAATGGCTTTCACTAGAAACATAGTGCCTTTACTTAAGGGCTAAGGTAGTTCTACTCTATGGGAGGGGGGGGAAAGGAGCAGGCAAACGACGTTAGGACAAAGTCGAGGACACTTGGATGCCATGTGCAAATACAGTAGAGCACTTCATCATACCAAACATTAGATTGTGTGCAATTATTAATGAGGAACAAAGTATTCTTTATCATAAAGAATATTAAAACAGTATTGTTATTTTCAAAGACATAACGCTGGACCCATCACCACGTTTGATTTACAAGGCACCTTTAGATGCTTGAGTAAAATATTCATGTCTGAGGTAAAATCACAAAGTGACAGTGTTCGGATAATTAATACTACCGCTAAAAAACCAATGACTGTGGCTCAAAACTTGGTTTCAGTGTAATGTTTAAACTGACTTCCGTTCATTTTTTCTGTAACCTTCATTTCAGCCAACTTCACAGGTTCTTTTAGCCTTTTTAGTCGGAAAAATGATGGTGATGAGGATGAAGTCTTCAAAATATCACGGTCACATATGTGCCCATGCTGCGAGTCAGCGAGTACGTATGATGAATTACAAAGGAAAAGGAAACACAGGGAAAAATAAAAGGAATTCTCACAAGGATGGAGTTACAGCATCTTCCATACAAACACATACACTCACTAGTATACTGTAATTAATAGCAGAGGACCTGAAAGAACTACATTAAGTGAGAGACAGAAGTCTCTTTGTTGTTTAAAGCCATTTACCAGTCACCTCTGTCGGTATTTTTTTCAAAGGGACATCCTTTTTGAACACTGTAGTTGTTGTTATCAGATATTACGACATCATATTTAATGCAGGTTTCCAGAACACTTTCACTTACAGGTCTGTTTTGGTCAGGTGTGTCACAAGAGTACTAGAACATCAGTGCCTGGTTGCACAGAACGTCTTAAGTAATCACATGATTACGTAAAAGACCTTAAAGGTGCAGTGTGTGAAATTTAGCGGCATCTAGTGGTGAGGTTGCAAACTGCAACCAACTGAATACCCCTCCCTCACCCCTTCCTTTCCAAGCGTGTGGTAGAATCTACAGTGGCCGTCATTTTTTCACGTCTCTCACAGCAAGAATTCACCCTCCCTCGCTTTTTTCTTGTGCTAATTAATCAGTATGATCCTCCATTTGTCAAAATTTGGGTTCTCAAACTGATTAACGCAAATTGATTAGCCAGAACTGACTACGACTGATTCTTCTTCTTCCCATGTCTCCCAATCGGTGCTAAACGCCACCAAATTCCAGCTGCCGCTTCAAGGTAAAAGTGTGAAAGGCACTCTTTAGAGCCAGTGTTTGGTTTGTTCGTTCTGGGCTACTGTAGAAAGGAGCCGCTCCCTATGTAGATATGAAAGGCTCACTCAACACAATGATTTATAGTTACAAGTGATTATGTACTAATGAAAACATGGTTTGGTATGCTATGTGTCATTTCCTCTAATAGATTCCACTAAAATTTGCATACTGCACCTTTAAAAAGGGGCCTAAAACTAGAGGTTAATATGGGATTTGGTATGTTTTGTTATTACATCACTTAGTCTTCCCAGTCTGACAGAATGCACAATGTCTTTCATGTTTTTTGTTTATCAGTGTTATGCAAATACGTCATACAACCATTGAGAATCCCTGTGGTGTCAACCAGTCCTGTTAGCCTAGCCATCAGTCCATAATCTAACTACAGCAAAGCTGGCATTAGTGTTACTATCTTGAGTGTCGAACAATATCATAAAGAAAACCACAGTTCTATATTTATTCAGCACAAAATGAACCAGAGACAGAGAAAAGAAGCCAAACTGAGTAAGGGAATCGAGCTAACCTTGCTAACATTAGCTTTTAGCTTACACGTAAGTTAACCACTCTCTCTGTTGTGATGATGATTATACAGCTGCCATAGATATTCAGCCTCCCAGCAGTAGCGTTAGCTGTCTAGCAGTTGTAGCTTTTCAAAAGATCCTCCCACCTTCGAGATGCATCATCAGAAGGGTGTTCTCCTTGTCCCCTTTATTTTTGTTAGATATTTCTTCAAGCTTATGATGGACCTTATGATGGAGTCTACACTAGGCTTTTTTAGTTCAAGACAAAAGCCCAGTCCCATTTCACCCCTCGCCCCTACCACTTAGCCCTTAGCGCTCCGTTTTGCTTCTTTGCGTCTAGGGTGTCCCAATTTTTTGTTGAGATAGAGGGGGATGGCGAAGTGTTTGGGCTACATGACCCTCCAAACAGAGGTTTTTCAGAGACTCCAAACAGAGAGTTATGAGAAAAAAAGAAAAACTGGCAAAATGGCTGAACAAGAGACCAAAGAAACCCACAAATTTGAGAATTTACTCTGTTAAAAATCACGATAACCACTGTATTATCTTAGTTTAATGTTGTTTCAGTGTATTATGGTCGTTTTCTTCATAACAACTTTCCCGTTCCACTTTAAATAGTCCAGCAGTTCTGACGCCCGAAGTGCCAGAATGTAACTGCTGCTCCATTTAAGGTGGAACGGGAAAATTCAAACGAGAATCTGGTGAATATCTATTTTCAGCTTTGTATCACTGAAGAATTAGTGGTGGGTGATAATAAATAATTGCCCCCTCTTTGAAGGCATATGATGCCCTAAATGTAACTAAAGCCCAGCAGTGAGGAGCCGAACTTTACCCTCCTCTGCTGTCACTGCAGACTGGCAGGGTCGCCTACAGAGCAGCGCCAGTAGCTGTTAATGAAGTAACGCCCAATTTTTAGGGAAGATTTCAACCACTACCCCTTGTAACTCAGTTCTAATGGCTAAGGTGACACTCGAAAACAAGAGGTAGGGGTAAAGGTAAGAAATGGAACTGGGCCTGGAATTAATATATGTTCAAGAAAACAGCTGGGGCTTAGCAAAACCTTAAAACTGGAATTTTTCAGACAATGACAAGATGATGACATCAGTCTACAGACTGGGAAACCTCCAAATTTTAACCCCTTAAAATCCCAGGCTTATTACATACTAAGGCTTATTATTCAGTGACTACAGGAACTTCAATGCAAACTGCCTAAGCTGTTCTTAGGTTATAGAAGTGTGTAATAAAACTGGCCATTTAAAGGGGTTAACCCAAAGTCAGGCAAGCTAACTGTCTCCATAGCAACAATCAAACCTGACATAAAACAATATTTGATCAGAGAAGACTGCTGCAATACACTCAGGTTGTCTTTACCTAAGAAAACATTTAAGGGATTTACTGCACTACACATATTTAATTCCCCTTTTTGAGGGAAGTCTAAACTGTTATGGGATCATCTGAAGAAAACGTAAGCATTTTTATGCAACCAGGCACAGGTCTATGTCCAAAAACTGTATTCATGAGAATTCCTGCATTCTTTACAGAAATGTTAGAGTGTTTTGGAGTATATTGTTTATAGACAGGGCTCCAAGGAACCGGGACAGGAGGAGAAAGCCAGGTATTTGTTTACCGCTCTATGGGTAACATAATAGACTCTAATCAAATATAGCAGTGGTGAATACAGTTGACCGCAGTGTGTAAGGTTTCCAGTTTCCTGTCTTTCAGCTGTGTGTATCACTGAGGGAAGGTTTCAGGAGACGGACGGGCAAGTCGGACACGGAAGGGTCGGGTACAGCCATTTGCTTCATAGTGATGCTGTTCATCTGACGTACACCTTCCTCTTTTGGGTGGCCACCATATCAGCCATTAGAATATGCTCTGTCGGCGGTTCTTGCCCCGACCTGAATTTAGTCGGAAGGAAATGAAGCATCTATCGTTAAACGACTGTGTATCAACATCTCACATCGTCTTTATTTCTACATGTGGCTTCGGAATTGCAGCAGTGCTATTGCAGTGCTCATATATCTAGCAGAATTAGTGGACTAAAAGCTGTCCAGACAACAAGAAGCTAAGTGTAATGATGGCTAAGAGCTAGAAGAATACCTGGGGGCTGAAAGACAGAGCTGCGATGGCCTGGGTCCTTCTGCAGCTGCACCTCCTTTAGCGAGAACACAGACGATGCTAGAGACAAAGGAGAGATTTAAAGGCCTAATCGAGAACCTGATAAATGCTCTCTTTCATAATAGAGGTGGATGTACTCACTGTCTGGTAAGGAGCGGATGTTCTCTCCCAGGCTGAGGAAGTATGTGTGTGTCAGCGACGCCTCGGCTGAGATCCTTTTCTTGGTGTCGTACTGCAGCCACACATTAGGGGTTCATGCGTTAGGAAGTGTGTTTGTAGTGCAGTAGTGATAAATTAAGGACATACATGGAAGCGAGAAAGCAGAACAAAATTGATAACAGTTGACTACAGTGTTGATAATCAGCTCCAGTATCGCGCTGTTTGTGTTTTCTTTGCCTTTGCACAGCTGATTCAACTCAACAGCTCATTACCAAGGCCCTTCAGGAGACGCATCAGGTGTGTTAGAGCTAGAAAGGTATTAAATGCTGCAGTGAACAAAGAAGCCCTGACTGGGACTGAGCGTCTTTGTATGAATGCACAGTGTTGTGCAAAAGTCAGACACCACCCTTCATGTATTTAATATCCAAGAAGTCCATGAAGATATTTGTTTTTCAGGAGATACGTCTGGCGTGATTAGAAAGAAGGTAATCTGCTTGCATAAGAAGGGGAAAGTCAAAGGTGTTTTTAATGAAAATGTAACAAATTAATAAAGAAATATTGAATATATAGAGAAAACGGGACTTCTAACAACCCTGCAAGACCTGGTAGACACTAAAACTGTCCCTATCAGATAAACAGCACTTAAAGCTTTGATCTTTGAGAGAGAGGAGAAAATCAATCTGATCTGAAAGAGAATCAGATCTGAAAACATCCACAGGCGTTTGAGTCCAGCTAGCTATGTGGAAACAGATAAAAAAGAAGAACAATTGTAAATCAAACAAAGAAGCTGCTGGTCTTCACCCTGGCCATCAACTACACCGTCCACAGGAGTTTTTCCATGCTTCCACTGTGAAAAGACGACTCAGCGCTGTGGGTCTGAAAGGATGTGTAGCTGTCAAGAAGAACCTCACTGAGAAAAAGGAGACGGATATAAAAATGAAATTTTCAAATCAAGCAGAGAAGCTACTGGTGTCCTCAGAACAACAGACTGACCACCCCAGAGTCCAGGCCTCAGCATAATTGCTAAATTGCATAAATGCTAAACCAACTTTTAAGACTGAACTTTGGAGGTGTGGTAAGACATCTCTGAATGTTTCTTTGAGAAACTGTGGGTAAGACAGTTGAAAAGAATGGAAGCTGTAATAAAGGCTAAAATAAAGACTGGACACACAAAAAACTACGGAGCGCTGCTGTGACATCACATATACATAAAAATAATGCGTGATCATGCCTTACTAAGTCATGGCCACTCATTAGGATCTCATTCCCATGCCTTACTAAGTCATGGCCACTCATTAGGATCTCATTCCCATGCCTTACTAAGTCATGGCCATGCCTTAGGATCTTGTTCCCATGCCTTACTAAGTCATGGCCATGCCTTAAGATCTTGTTCCCATGCCTTTCTAAGTCGTGGCCATGCTTTAGGATCTCGTTCCCATGCCTTATTAAGTCATTTCCATGCATTAGGATCTCATTCCCACGCCTTACTAAGTCATGGCCAAGCATTAGGATCTCATTCCCATGCCTTACTAAGTCGTGGCCAAGCATTAGGATCTCATTCCCATGCCTTACCAAGTTGTGGCCATGCTTTAGGATCTCGTTCCCATGCCTTATTAAGTCGTTTCCACACATTAGGATCTCATTCCCATGCCTTACTAAGTCATGGCCATGCATTAGGATCTCATTCCCACTCCTTACTAAGTCATGGCCCTGCTTTAGGATTTTGTTCCCATGCCTTACTAAGTCGTGGCCACACATTATTTTAATTTATATGACACTGAAAAATAAATAACTTGTTCTTAATGGCCACTTTGACTCGACATCAGATGGATGAAAGGTGGTCTTTGACTTTTGCACAATACTGTAAATTTCCTGAATTGACTCACATTAAACACTGGCAGCACAGTGAAGATACGCTCAAGGACAGTTCATTCACTCAGCTGGTCATTCTCAAAACTCCATCCTCTTAAGAATAAGAGGTTGGTTTGTTAAAATACCAGATTCTGCATTAGTCCTGCAGTCTACCACAGTGTACATGCATACATATGTATGAAGGCATATTTACCTTATTTATTCTGATTTGTTCCACTATGCAACTACATACACCAAGGCTCTTATATATGCGAGAGGCACTGCTCCTATAGTGTGTGTGTGTTTGTGGCTTGTCATTAGCATCTGTGAGCTTCAGCTATAACCTCCCCATTCCCAAACAAACCACTGCATCACGCAGCGTGTCCCGTTTGTCACAGTCTAAAACCGGCTGTGATTACTCAGTGCGGCTCCTGATGTGAAACAGGTGTGCGGCCCGCGCTCATTAAGCGCGCTGTCGCCGTTAACGGATCGCCCTGCTCCTTCATCACACTGAAGGGTTACCCGTCACGCTCACGCTGCGGGACAGAAGCCTATCTGCAGACAAGCATGTGCACCACTACTCACGCAGAACTGAAGAACAATGCCGTATCAGTGATAATAATAGCAATAAGAATAATAACAGTGGTAATTATCTTTTGACAAGCTTCCAAACCCCTATTAAAATAAAATTTACTGTTACACTACACTGTGCAAAGGTCAGAGACCATTCATCATTTATTTAATGTCCAGTCGAAATGGCTATTAAGTACAAGATATGCATTTTTCAGCATCAGGGAAAGGTTTTTTCCTTCTCCTGTAATGTCAATGGAGGTTTTCTTCCAAGAGCAGCGATATAAATATACACACGAAGACACACTGACTGACCAGTTCTCATCAAGTTAGCTTCGCATATTGGTGCACTTTGTACTTCCACAATTACAGACTGTCCATCTGTTTCTCTGCATACTTTATCAGCCCCCTTTTACCCTGTTCTTCAGTGGTCAAGACCCCCACAGGACCCCCACAGAGCAGGCACTATTTGGGTGGTGGATCATTCTCAGCACTCAGTGGTGGTGGTGTGTTAGTGTGTGTTGTGCTGGTCTGAGTGGATCAGACACAGCAGTGCTGCTGGAGTTTTTAAACACTGTGTCCACTCACTGTCTACTCTATTAGACACTCCTACCTTGTCGGTCTACCTTGTAGATGTAAAGTCAGAGACGATAGCTCATCTGCTGCTGCACGGTTTGTGTTGGTCATCCTCCAGTCCTTCATCAGTGGTCACAGGATGCTGCCCACGGGACGCTGTTGGCTGGATATTTTTGGTTGGTGGACTATTCTCAGTCCAGCAGTGACCCTGAGGTGTTTAAAAACTCCAGCAGCACTGCTGTGTCTGATCCACTCAGACCAGCGCAACACACACTAACACACCACCACCACCCAGTGCTGAGAATGATCCACCACCCAAATAGTACCTGCTCTGTGAGGGTCCATGGGGGTCCTGACCATTGAAGAACAGGGTAAAAGGGGGCTAACAAAGTATGTGTTTCAAAGAAATCTGTAGGGATATTTTTCCATACCTCCAAAGTTCAGTCTTAGAAGTTGGTTACATTCACATTCAAGTAACTTTATCCCAAACACATTCAATGATCTTCAAAAATATCTCCTGAAAAATGAATGACTTGTACTAACCTGTATATATGCTGTAATATAGTTTGTTTATATGGGGAAAGACGTCAGATGAAAAATACCTGCTCTATATCTGCCACATTTACCTGAGTCATTCTACAGAAACATCCATTTTTGTGTCCCTAGCGTTTACAGATATATTACACTTGAAAAACCTGCCAGGGTTACAATTTATTTATATTTTAAAATAAAACAATTATTATAAAAAAATATAAAAACAAGTTATTTTAACAGTTGCACCTTCTTGAGCCTCAATTCAGCAATATTGGTTTTTAAATCAATCATATAGAATTCAGAGCACCACAGAAGAGCTCGTCCCCACAGTCGTGTGTGAAGGCTGAGGCCATATTTTGAAAAAAACATGTTTTTCTACAATTTTAACTGCAATAATCTATACATGACTATGAAATACATGAATTAAATGACATAAAGAAAACAAATGCCAAATAAATATTATAAAATATATAATGAAAGTTGTTGTCCCCAGGAGTTGTGTCACTGGTGTTACTGCATAACAAAAAATCTCTTATTTTGAAATAAAAGTCACACTGATGACATCACTCGACTTCCTTTTACCTGTTTTCTGTGGATCTATGAAGAAAAGCACATGGTGAGTCCACGGTGTCTTTCAGTTATCAGAGATTGTCTCATTTAGCTCATGATTTCATATGAATCTTTTAGCTGAAGTCACTGGTGTGACCGACTTTATTCTTTGGTAATTGTGAAAAAATAGAATACAAATGGATTAAATTACATATTTTGGTGGATATTCCGTGATTGACGACATGTGGTTTGATGTTCTGTAGCAGTTCGTTGGTAAAATGTATTTTTCATTAAAAATGTCTCTGGTGTTACCGTTCTTAGGTAACGATCAGTAACACCAGTGACTCCTCTGGACAGATAAAAAAATGGACGTTTCTGTAGAATGACCCTGCTGTCCCTGTTAATAAATAAGTAATAATAAAGGTTTTCTTTCTAACTAAAGCATCCCAGTTCTGCACACTCTCCCTCTGTTTGTGCACACCGGAGGCCCACGACACTAACAGCTCCTCCAGCTCTGCCTCCTTCAGCTTGACTGAAGTAGAATTTAGCAGTGTCAGCTCGCCTTTGTTTACCTGTGGTTTGATAGCGGTATAAACCTCTCTGTCTGACACTTCCTGCCGCTAACTCTAATTGGACTTTGAGAAGCAGGCAACCAGCGAAGAGCCTGCAGCAGACGCCTTCATCAGCCACCCGCATCTCAGCCAAACTCGACTACTGAGCCCTCGACAAGATCCTGTTTTTGCTGGACAGCTCAGCGAGTCTGCCGGGAATAGCCAATGAGTGCGTTTACATGCACACAAGAGTAGCCTCGAACCAGACTCAAGTAAAAGTGCTGTTACTGAAATCATGACTCAAGAAGTAAAAGCAGCGACCAAAAAACAACTTCAGAAAGAAGTATCAGGTCAGAAAAACTTCTCAAGTCGTGAGTTGTCTACAGAATTGCTGTTGAATTTTTTTTCATCCAGCATATATCAGCATGGGAACTGAAGTTTGATAGGAATTGTTTTTCACTTTTTTTGAGCCCTTTTTTCTAAAGTAACATGCTAAACTTTCAAGTCACAAGTCTGACAAATAGTGAGGAAGGTACTGTCACCAACAGAAGATAATTAAATTGTGAAGTAAACATGAATAACTAAACTGGAATTGAGGAAAAAGTTTATTTATTTGCTCACAAATATACTTCAGGATAAAAGAAACTTCAAAAATTATAATTTTAAAAGCTAATGTTTAAGTTTTCACATTCTACTTTAAAATAGTTCTGCACTACAGATACACTATGTGGCCAAATGTATGCGGACACACAAGTTCCACAACATGGAAATTTAACCTCAGCAGTGCAGTGAAACACCACATACACACTAGTGAATGCACACACACTAGGGGGCAGTGAGCATGCTTGCCCAGAGCGGTGGGCAGCCCTATCCACAGCACCCCAGGGGCAGTTGGGTGTTAGGTGCCTTGCTCAAGGGCACTTTAGTCACGTACTGTCAGATGAGTGGATTGAACCGGCGACTTTCCGTTCACAAGGCTGGTTCCCTAACCTTCAGCCCATGACAGGAGCAGTGCATTTGGAGCTTCATGAAATGGGTTTCCATAGTTGACCAGATGGAAAGTCCATAAAGACTCCAGTGGCCTGGACAGGGTGCAGACCTCAACCCCCACTGAACACCTTTAGGATACTCTTTTAACTGAATGGGCACAAATTCCCTCAGACACACTCCAAAATCTTGTGGAAAGCCTCCCGAGAAGAGTGAAGGCTGTTATGGCCGCAAAGGGAGGGGGCCAACTCCATATTAACCCCTTAAAATCCCAGGATTATTACATACTAAGGCTTATTATTCTGTAACTACAGGGTGCAAACTGGTTAAGCTATTCTAAGGCTAGAGAAGTGTGTAACAAAATCACCTTTTAAAGGTTTAATGCCTATGGTTTTGGAACGAGATGTCCAACAAGCTCACGCAGGTGCAATGTATAGGTGTCCACAAACTTCTGGCCAGGTAGTGTATTTAGATCTCCTTGTTAACGTCTAAAAACCTGCAGGTCATGCATAATGTGCGTTTACATCACATCTACAACAGTAGCGTAAGTAGAACACAAAAAATGGGGGGTCCGTTAGGGGGACGACTGTTTATCTCTCAGCTGTTAACGTTAGCTAAAGTTATCTAAAGGCTGGCATTGATCACATCTGTGTTAATTAGCTGATGTCGTTACCCTCCTATGATCACAGAGTTTCTCTCCTCTTTATGCAACACCATGGGATCCTTTACCCACCCTGACGTGAAGAGCCGGTGGGCTTCTGTGCTGTTAAATGCTTTGAGAGACTCTCCAGAACAGGGAGAGGAGCTGAGTATGAGATACATATAAATGTCAGGAAAACACAAATTGGGTAGCTTTTCCGCCAGTTTAAGTGGGACCAGGAGTTCAGGGGGAAACTGTGTAAGGATCTCAGCCTATTTTATCGACTCTGTTGAGATAACATTTTTTCTCCTCCAAAGTAAGGAGAGTAATTTTAGCCGTCTTTCACTGTTTCACTGTTGAGAACTTCAACTTCTAAGCAAACATGAGTGGTCTGAACATTGTTCCCTGGCTGCATTCAGCAAAACTAGATTTGCTGATGTTCATTTTTTCGACATATCAATAAGTCCATGTCGGAGTAGATCACAGCATTATAAAGCACCTCCATGGCCTTTTCACAAAGTCTGTGCTCATTAGGAGAGCTATGGATCTGTACATACAGGCAATCAACAAGATGAAGGATGGAATAATGTGATAATAACACGTGTGAAGGGACATAAGAGTCTATTCCTCTTACATGGCTGTCAACTATGGCTATCCTCATTATCTCTCAGGAGCTGTTCTGAGAAGGATTGCTATCACTGTGCATCACAAATATAGATTATAAGCGGAGCATGGCTTTGGCTCCTGGATATAAATTAATCTTAGGTGTGGATTAAAAGGGATTTTCGGTGGAAAGTCACAAGTGTTGGTGTGATTTAGCTCAGGGATGTGCTTATTCTGTGTCTAGGCTACTAAAGTTTATATTACAGTATAGAGGCCATATATGAAACCCGTTAAATATAACCTTTTATACTGAATCCTTTCTAAAAAATTGTGTAATCATTTTCTGAGCACTGTGCTGCACAGTTTACCGCTTGTAGAACATTTGCAAAAATAAGACATACCGATCAATCACCTATATCTGTCAGCTCAAATGGCAACTTATATTATTAATAACAAACAACTTGTATAATTAACAGCAAAAACTCTCAACCATTCATTCATCTTTAACACGTTCATGCTTACCAGTAGAAGCGCTGAGAGGAGGTCAATACCCTCTGTGTCCAGCCTGAAGCCACAAATTGGAACAAAAGTGAAAAAGTCAAAGCTAAATGGCTAAATAAAGCATTTGCAAGGCAAGTATGCAGAAATAAGTTCCACCTCCTTCCCTATTATTCAAAGCTCCTTTGCGAATTCAGTAATAATGCATTCCATCAATATTAGTTTTCTGTGTTTTATGGGATGCATAGTGGATAAATGCAGTTTTGTACTTCGGCTACCTGGGAACGTGGTTTATAAGGGCCTGGGCTCTATACTGGGGGAAGAGGTAGGACTTGAACTCCTCATTAGCCGAAATCCCTGGCCAGGTCTCCTCAGTCGGGGTCCCTGGTTGAAAAGAGGAAGAATACATTATTTTCTACCTTGTACAGATGGTGATAATATCATATTCCGGCAAAGAAATATTTCTACCGCAAAGCAAATTGAACTTGCGAAACAAATAAGGCCCTTTGGGGGACTCGGGAACCTGAGTGTTCATACTGACAAGTCTTTAAAGCAAGACATTTAGGGGGGGAAAGAAAAGAGTCTAGTTGCAATGACACTTCACTCACGGAGCTCTTTTTACAGAATGTTGTAGTTGTCAAAGGTTAACCGTACCCATGAGGCGAAAGACCAGGTGCAGCTCCTCCTTGACAGTCGAGCCGGGAAACATGGGCCGCCCTGTCGCCATTTCGTACAGAATGCACCCCACGCCCCTGAACCCAAGACAAGGAACCGTCACTTTGAAGCACAATGCCACGCTCTACTTAATTCCATTATATTCTGCAAAAAAAAGCGCATTCATTCCAAAATAAACGAATAAATCTTGACATTTACACGCAGCAGGGATAATTCGCATGAAAGACTGGATTCTAATAGATTTTCTGGCTTTGGTTAAGGTGAATTTGAAGATGGTCTCTGCACCACGCTTTGATTTCTAGTCGTGGTGGAAGGCGGCCATGGGAAGTCTGTGAGCTGTAGATATCAGGAAGAGACATGCGGCTGCCGTCACACATGGATTGATTAGCCTACCGGGCTAATCCCGGAGATTACTGAAACACACGGGGCTTTTATTGAGCACTACAGTCTGAGATTTTTTAAAAAAAGAAAACGTTTGTGTCACTGAGTCAACAACTCAAGTGACCTGAGGAATAAATGTGTGTGACAAAGACGAGGCGTGACTGTAAAAAGCGAACAAGCGCTGCTCGTATGGATCCTGGAGGAAATGAGGTCTCAAAGCTAGTCAAGAGTGGAATCGTGTAGTTCAATGGTAATATGAGTCTATTTGTTCTCATTAAATGAGATGGGGCCTATGATGCCTATATGAGATGCAGCTGTTGGGCTCTCTGTGGTGCTGTGCAGAAGTCAGAAACTACCCTTTTATTCAATTTATTTCATTTCCAGTCAAAACGGCCATCAAGTAAAAGTTACTCGTTTTTCATTGTCAGAAAAAAGCAACACATATTTAACACAAAATGACACAAAAGTCTCCACACAAAGTATAACACCAATCAGTCTTTAACCCCTTAATATTCCAGGTTTATTTCATACAAAGGCTTATTATTCAGTAACTACAGGGACTTCAGTTCAAACTAATGGAGCTATTCTTAGGTTATAGATGTGTGTAATAAAACTTTGGGGCCATGGCTTGTCAAGGGGTTGATTTGCTCACTCTTTGCTTTTGTGCACCCTATTACCACTTCAGCTCTTCCATCCTTCCAATCTAAAAACCAATGTTATAGCTACACTGTTAAAAATGGGAGGTCAGCTCAACTTAAAATGATATAGTAACTGATTTCATGGCTTTTCTTGAGTTGACTCAACTTGAGGACACCAGAGTTCACACAACTCAAACTTTTTAGTTGAGTAATTTTTTGATTTTTTTTTTACTTAATTTTTTAGTTTTTCATCTCAGCGTGGTAAATAAAATGAACTTGTTTTTATACTTAACATCCCCACCAGCCAGGACTCTCTCCATCACACAATCCTGCGAGACATTTTTCCTCCTGTGTAAACACTTAGAGATGGCTGTGGCATCACTGGGGCTCAAACTCACAACCTCCTGTTGGGGTGACGGTTTAGTCCACTGCACCACTCAGGAACACATGAAGCAGCTCAGGTTTTGTGTCTACAAATGTTTAATACACTGGAGAAAATATTTATTGTTTTAACTTTAAAGTGTCGTCTCATGTGGTGCAACTGTCTAATAGTTCATCCCAACATCAGGAGGTTGTGAGTTTGAATCCCAGCAATACCACGGCTGTCCATATCCAAACACCCAAGAGGAAAATATGCCAGATGGGGCTGTGTGATAGATGGAGCGCCAGCTAGTGGGGAAACTGAGTAAAGAATACAAATTCAGTTTTGTTTATCTAACTGAGATGCAGAGCTGGAAACAGTAGCTGGGAGGATTTTTGACTCGAATAAGAAGTTTGAGTTGGGTGAACTCTGGTGTCCTCAAGTTGAGTCAACTCAAGAAAAGCCATGTAATCAGTTACTATATCAGTTTAAGTTTTTTTACAGTGTACAAGGTTGTTTATTTTCAGAAGATATTTCTGTAGAGATTAGACATATTTTATAATCCACTTGCATAAGGAAGGGGAAAGGAAAATAAGTGGAAAACAGAAAAGAATTTTCCACACCTGGAGTTCAAAAAACGATTGAAAGATACAGAGAAAATGGGGCTCCTAACGACCACCTGGAAGAGCTGGTAGACACCAAAACTTCAGATAAACAGCACTTAAAGCTTTCATCTTTAGAAGATGGGAGAGAATCAAGCTCCACTTTTGCTTCAGATCACAAGTGTTTCTGTCCATCCTTCCATTGCAAGAAGACAACATAACACTATGAGTCTGAAAGGATGTGTAGCTGTCAAAAAGCTGTTGCTAAGAAAAAAAGACTTTCTTAAAGAAAAAGAGGACAATTTGAACAACAAAACTGGACATTTGAGATGTGGAGTGACATTTTACGGTCTGACTAGTCTAAATTTGTATTTGGGATTGTGAGAAACAGAAAATGCAACCAACTTCCTGAAGGTGTTTACAGTGAGTTTGAGAAAAAATCCCTGCAGATTTCTGATAAAAAACTGAAAGCAAGTCTCTGAAGAACAATGGAAGCTGTAATGAAAGAAAAGCGTGGACACACTTTACATTTAGTTATTGAGAATTCCCAATATATGTCTGTTAAATATGTGTTTTGTACCTTTTTCCTGATGAATAAATGAAATGAATAACTCATACTTAGTATCCATATTGACTGGAATTCAAATGAATGGGATTGTGGTCTCGGCTGTCTGGACAGTACTGATATGTATATAAAAGCTTTTTCTCCTATGACTATTCCTGTAAAGGTGTGCAGTGCCTCCTAGCAGGTGACGTGTAGATCAGCAGGTGCTCACCACATGTCTATAGGTGTCGAGTACTCTGTAGAACCTAGCAGAACATCAGGGGGCCGGTACCACAAAGTCACCACCTCGTTGGAGTAGGTTTTTGTCGGGACGGATTTCGCTCTCGCCAGGCCTAACGAGCCAGAGAGGGATATGAAACATTCTTCAGCCGGGAAACAAATGTTGCTTGGTAACCCAGTAATTGGCCCAGTGTCATCTTGAGATTTATGTAGTATGAAAGTTCTAAAGCATGCTGTTGCTGAGGGGAATAGAATAAGGATCACTGCTATTCCGTGTGAAACCAGCCAAAGTAAAGCCGCGCTGGCGTAATCTGCTGAAAGAGTCTCACCAAAGTCAGCCAGCTTGAGTTCTCCCTTTTCATTGATGAGCAAGTTCTGTGGCTTGAGGTCCCTGTGTAGAATCTTTCTCTTGTGACAGTAGGATAAACCGCGGAGAAGCTGGAACATAAATATCTAGAGAGAAAAAGAGAGAGAGACAGGGGAAAAAAGGGGGGAAGGGGGAACGGCATAAACTACACGAATTATTAGGAGGAATTAATGTGGAAATTGCTTTTTTTTTTGGACCGTGGGGAGTGATAGATGGTCTCCAAGGCACCTTCACATTGTGCATGCTCATGAGGTTTCCACAGTTGTCAAGGTACTGCTTCAAATCACTATCCTGGAAAAAAAAAAGAATACATAATGAGAACATAATGTCTGCCGGTACTTTAAGCGACGATGCTTTATTTGGCATCGCCTCGAGCTTTTCCAGCAAATGTAGATTGCATTCTGTGAAAACAAATGTCTGTGCAAGCAAGTCTTACCAAATACTCAAAGACCAGAGTGAGACAGCGGTCAGTGTGAATGATGTCATGCAGAGTAACAATGTTGGCATGTTTCAGGTTCTTCAGGAGCGAAACTGTAGCAACACAGAAAAGACTGTAAATCTGAATTCTGAATGTCGGACCATTCCGCTTTTGCATCAGCCTCTCAGAATCAGTACTACATTCTGCATCATTCTAGTGCTGCAGCTCTCATTCATGTGCAGCTGTGGCATAAGATCTCCCTTCCCTATATCTGGGCAGTTTTGCAGCATGCCCACTGGGGGGCAGCCTTGATTCATGTCAAGCTCCCTCCTCACCAATTCCTGTCACGTACACATTCCCTCATTTATGGGGAGAGATTCAGGCCCGGGGGACAGGAAGCCTGCAGCTCACCAGTCTAGGATTTGTACTCCTGGCTACAATCTGGAGTTTTAACAACCGAGGAGCTTAAAAATCGACAGTTATTCTGGGGTAGAGAGGCGTCTCAGAGAAGGACACTACCTTCCCTGATGGCAGTGCATGGGGCTCCTTCTTCATGCTCTAGCCGGATCTCTTTCAGGGCCACCAGATTTTCTGTCAGCTTGCTGCGCCCCTTGAATACTGTAGCATAAGTACCCTGTAGCAGAAATAAAGATAACATGTTTGCCACTGAGATTCTGCAACAGTAAGAAGATGATTTCAATGGAACCCTCTTAAACCAGACTCTTCTTACCAGATTTGCACCAGACATGTTGTTCACATCAAATGTAGCATGCATTAAAAATGGAAGTGGTTGGAAATAAGGATAAAATATTGTTGTTACACTCAGAAATAAAGGTGTGGGGCGGCCCCCCCTTTTGACACCGGGGTGATACCATCAAGGTACATCTCAGTACCTTTATTCAGGGAACATAACTGTACCATAATCCATTGAAATCATATTTTCTAAGCTGTACTGACTCCACACACCCCGTCTCGTCTCCAGGCTTTTATTTTACTGTTCTGTTTTAAAACATTAATGAAAAGCTACAAAAACGAACTTTTCACCTGGAAAAACTTATTTAAGGTTCACAAACAGACCTTAAAACCACTGTTGTACCTTTGAGGGAACGTTTACATTGTTTGTACCTTGACGAACGAATAACGTACCTGCACAGAACCTTTATTTCTAACAGTGTAGAGTCAGAATTTGAGATACAGTCACTGCAGTGATAAACATCGCTCAGCCATAACATTAAAACGACCGTTCATCCATTTTATCAGCTCCACTTACTATATAGGTGCACTTTGTAGTTCTACAGTTACAGACTGTAGTCCATCTGTTGCTCTTTCTTTATTAGCCCCCTTTCACCACTGATAAAATGGACAAAGTGTAGAAACAAGTTAGTTTTAATGTTATGGCTGATAGGTGCAGCTGAGCGAAGGAACGAGAGAGAGAGAGAGAGAGAGTGAGAGAGACAGACTGATGAGGTACTTAGAAGAAAAGGGCAGATTAATTCTCATTAATTCTAGTCATTTGGGCTTTCAGCTCATGACCCTTGCTGAACCACGAGCAGCACGGCCTGCTTTGCCAAAAGCGAAAGCACACAAGGTTTCATTAAAAAATAAACGTATAATACATTAAAGCCTTCGCTCGGATTTGGTATTCACTTTGGTACGCCTCTGCTTGTTATCAGCTGTGTGAGGCTGTCCATGTCTGATTTTCCAGACAATCCTTTTTTTAGTAAAGCAGCCGTGAACGAGGGTATTCCTCCAGGCTGTGCACAGGACATTATTTTTCACGCTTCATAGTGTATGTTTTCTTGCAGCTAATGGAAAATTGACAGGTTCGGTGTAGCGCAGTTTGGAGAATATCAGAGATTGATGAGCTTTCGTGGTACCAAAGTGGCTCATATTGGGTCAGAATCAACACACCATAACAATAAAAATACTGAGATTTGCTGTAAGTCTGCGTGAATCGCTACTTTTTTTGGTTCAGCCCTTCTTGACGTTGTTTGCATAATAAAATGAGATCAGCTTTGATTTGGCAAAAGCCTTGAGAGTGAAATGATTCAACCCGCTGTAACCTAAAAACATGTGAGGACTCACCTCTCCCAGTTTGCCTAGTTTCACATAGGTCTCCAGCTTCCCGAAACCGATGTCAGACTGAAAATGAAAGACACACATTGGTGTACTTTGGGTTATGAGAACGCTTGATATGTGTTTATTTATCTATCTATTTATCTATTTAAAAATACCACTCAAACATATTTGTCAGTTTCTGTAGCTGAGTTGTAAATCATTTTGGAATCAATGTGAGATACTGGAATTTGACTGGAATCAAGCATGTGATCTGTTTCAATATACATACATACATACATCATCTAAACCGCTTATCCTTCTGGGTCTGTTTCAATATCATTTACAAAAATTGCTCATTATTAATTATTACACACAGCACTGTGAAAAAGTATTGACACCCTCCTTCTTTCATTTCATTGACAGTCGAAGCGGCCATTAAGTACAAGTTGTTCAATTCTCAGTGTCGACAAACATTTTTAGCAGAAAATGACACAAAAGCATTAACAATTAAATAGAATAAAATCTCATTAAGAATTTAGTGTGTCCACTATTTGCCTCTATCAGAGCATCTTTTCTTTATAAGAGACTAGTTTGGTCGCATTTTCTGCTTCTCACGATCCAAGTAATCCAAAAACAATTAATGACGGTGAGATCTGGACTCTGGGGCGGTCAGTTCATTTTTCTGAGACTACATGTTCTTCATTTGATTAGCAATTTTTCATCTTTCTTTTTCTTAGTAAGGGCTTCTTGACAGCTACACATCCTTTCAGACTCATAGTGTTGGGTCTCACAGTGGAAGGATGGACAGAAACACCTATGGCTGCTTTCAGATGTTGTATAGTGTAGTGGGTAACGCCTCTGGCTTCTATGCTGTAGACTGGGGTTCAATCCTCAGTGAGCACCCTACACTATACCAATAAGAGTCCTTGGGGAAGACTCCTAACACTACCTTCACCTACCTATTTAAAATGATTAAAACCGCAAGTCACTCTGAATAGGAGTGTCTGCCAAATGCCATAAATAAATGTAAGCAAGAGTGAAGCTTGCTTTTCTCTGAAAGCTTTAAATGCTGTTTATCTGATGGGGACAGATTTGCAGGCCCACCAGGTTTTGAGCCCCATTTTTCTCTGGATTTTATAGATCATCAGCTTGTTTTACCATCTTCCTTTGACTTCTCTCCTCCTTATTCAGCTGAATGACCTAATATCTAATGTCCTCCTGAAAAATGAATGACTCATACCTAATGGCCGTTTTGATGTTTTGACTGCGGTAAACAACTGACCAGTGAGGCTCGCCTGGACATGCGGCTAAGCGGTTTGCAGGGCTGTGGGCTCTCCATCTGCAGCTTCTTCAGAAACTCCGGTGGCAGGCGAATGTCCATGGGCAGAGACATCCGCTTACTGACGTCCTACACAGAGAAACACCCGCGCACGGCAACAAATGCAGACAGCTAAACGTGCAACAGAGGCATCAGGTGTTCAGTACAGAACGTCAAGGTGAATTTGACAGCTTTGAACGGTGGAACGTAAAGACAAAAGATAAAGTCTCCTGCATACTGTGACACGATTCATGGTTAGACTCCGTCTTACTTGTCCTTCAGCGCCGAACTCGGGGCAGCAAAGAAGACTGTCACATTCTGAAGGGCATGACTAAGTATGCAAAATTGCTTGGATGAGAATTCTTGAAAAATGTCTTATAATGCTGGCAATGAAATCATACTGTGAAAAATTACCACACTTACAAGCGTACGTTGGAGGAACTAATTCATTTGCTGTGAGTGAAGGACTGAATTCTGAGGATTTGTGCCCTTCTGCCTCTTAAGGAGGTTTATGTGGTGGCACAATAAAACTATCAAGCAATTTAAAGGAGAGCAAGGCTTTTTCCACTCTTTCTCTCCCCAGCACTTTTCAGCCCAGCCCCTGGGACCGAAATAAGGGTGCATAGTGCAGATAAAAGGTTCGAGAGAGCAGAAAGGAACCCAATGGATTTGAAAATGGAGAGGGCATTCACTCCAATTTCCCTCCTTGAGATACATGGCTGCCGAACACAAGGGCTGACAGCGGGGCTTGGGAGGACTCCGAATGTGAAGTCTCTGCTGTGATATGGGACCCGACTTAAAAATAACCCGTCGGCTGCGTTTAGCCAAAGCCTCCATCTTTTCGCCAGGCCTTCTGGCAGAAGTGACACGGAGGAGAGGGCCGTAATGCGAGGCCGGTATTTGTCCTTCACACACAATCAGGGCTTAGGGGACAGGCGAGTAATGGTGGGTTGGGAGAGAGGGGAAGACGAGGAGGAGGAGGATGATGATGGTGGTGGCTGCCGCTGCTGAGGGAGCCTTTGATTAATCTGTTATTCCCCCTCGGGGGTCTATTTTGTGGGAGGTTGTTTGGGTTTGTTTGTTTCCAACAAGATGAAAGTCACCTCCAGAAAGGTGCTGATATTTACGACAGCTCTTGGGCTGTTTGGCTTGTCATGTCTATCATGAATGGTCCAAACTCATGTATGCTGAATGCTCATTTGGATGCCATCAATTCAGTGTTACTAATGGTTCTTGCATTGTGTCTTTAAATAACATCATACAGGTCAGTTCACGCACATTATATGAATGGGCATCTATTGTACCTCAGGATCACTTCTATTAAGACCTATGCATTATGCATGGACACTAATTTAAGAGTCTTTTTACACATGTAGCACACAGGAAGCAGTTTTTTTTGCTTTGTAGTAGACATGTGGCACTAACCTCCATAGAGAAGCGACGGTGCTGGACCTTGTTGCGGTAGTGGAGCTGAGTAGGAGACGGGGCCTGGTGGTCTGAGGCCAGCGGACTGGGCTCCGGGTGTAAGCTGTGCAGGCCCAGGCTGTTTGGTACCATATCTGTGGAAATACAACCCTTTATCTGAGTTGGCTCATACATTCATCTTTTTCTTAAGGCCAATGGAGGTTGTGAAGTCTCCGTGGCTTTGGTCACTGGAATTAAACATCTGTTTCTTTGCGGTACAACAACTGGCCTCCCAGTTGAAGCAAATCCTAATTTGGACTACATTTTACCTGGCAGGCTGGAGCATCATCGTAAGCCAAAGTACAAATTGGTGGCACTACAGCATCTGACTTTAAATAAACAACAGTGCTGCCTTGACTCGTGATGTGGAACCATTCATTGATGTGTGAATTATTACCATTATGAGGGATGAAGTTAAAATGAACTTCAGAATCCCAACAATCCAGTTCAATCTGATCCAAATTGAGCAGATGACATGCCCGCCCCTCTCAGATTGTCTGCTAACTCAATAAATATGAGGTCAACGTTGCCATATGCTGGTGAAGGGGGCTCCCATTAATCAAGAGAGCCACAATTACGAGACTCGACGCAATTAGTCCTCACTGCGCCGAGTTTCACGCATTTGTGGTGTGGCTATCTAAATGCATGTCAATCCAGGCCACCCCAATTAATACATTCTGTGTCAACAGACTGTCAGCACAAATCTAATTACGCCCCTATAAACCACACCTGATGTGAGCCACCAACAGCGTGCCCGACCTCTGCGTGAATGCCCGCCAAAGCCAGCCGCCAGCCTGGTGTTCTTGCCGGCTGGCCCATGCCTGGTCCCGCTTCTTTTTTTTTTATAGGTGAGAGCGAAAATCAAATGGCTTTTCTGCTCCATCAGTTCAATTTGGACAAGGGGGCTTGAAGGGCCTCGAGAGGCACCGTGGCGGGAGCCCCCGGTCCATTTCACAGCAGCGGAGCGGCATAATTGAGATCCACCTCATTATCGGGGCGAGGCCGGCTGCTGAATGAGAATTGGCCGCCAAGCACATCTTTTCTCATCTGCTGGGCTCATCTTCCCCAGGCCCCGGAGTAGAATCTCTATCTGGACCATTCGGGGTGGAACGGAGCAAAAGGCCCCAGCTGTTGGAGAAGGTCATCAACACGGGTTTTACCCTGAGTTTTGTTACAGTGTGAGTGATGATCACAGCAGCTGTTTGGAGAGTCTGGTGATCTTAGTGGGTCATTGCTGTAGCAATGCCCTGCTCAATATCACCAGATCATTTGGTGCCTCCCTAATGTACTACAGATCACATTCAGTTTTGCACCGAATGCTTAAACCTAAAACAAAAGTGATGAAACGTGATATTGATTGGAAAGTTCCTGTCTCTAGATTTGGGCAGGAGTAGCCCACCCTCTTTACGAAGGACGATGGAATGGAGTGAATTTCCATCCTGAGAATATGGCAGCGACATGGTCAGAATAGAGTACTCATGTATTTGTTTATTGGTATTCAGGTAACTTTTAGTTTTCTGCAGCTTTTTCTCTTTTTTTTCCAAGCCTAAACTACATTTTGCCTGTTTATTATTAATAACTAGTTAATAACTAGCATGACTTCAGATATTTTAAAGTCAACAGCTATGTGATGAAAGCTGAGTCAACTTATCAATGATGATGTCATGAACAAAACCAAAGGAGAAGGGTATGCTTTGCAACAAATGACGTTAAAAATCCAGCTTTAAAAATCTGTGATGACCCCAAACACCACAGGTCAGTAAAGTGTGACGCACAGCCCTTGAATATCACCAAATTGAATCCAACTTAAGCTTTGGCTTCACTACACGACTTTTAAAGTCTGAACAGCTTATAAAAGACTGGGTGTCTCATACTATCTGACTGTTTTTTTCTGATTTTTTGGGGCGACTGAAATATTGGAGATCACACACTAAACGATTAGGGATCACACACTACTCAACTTCTAAGCTGTTGCTGAACCGAACAGAACACATTCTCCAGTTACTAGGAGACCCAAATAAACAAACCTGGAGCTCCTGCTGCTGTTTTCTCTGCCGTTTGCGCCGACACAGTAAAGAAGCAGCAGGTAAACATGTTTAAATGAGGATCAGGGATTTAAAAATGTGATCAGTTCGGTATTTTTAGAGTTTTAAATGTACATAAACTCAATTCTGCCTTAAACTTCATTAAAAAGCTTCGCTCCACACGTGAGAGACTTTTCACCATTTTTCTTTGTTTACTTGCTGTTATTTCTTCATTCGTGCTCTTAGTTCTCATTGGCTGTTGCAGGAGTCTGTTCAGATTGAGTCGTTGACAAGTTTACACTAGATTACAGTCAGAGTCGGGTCGAAGAAATTAAACGTTTGACAAACTCCGACTGGTCAGAAACGCAGCCAGGAGGCCAAAAGTCTCTCCAACTGTCGACTCCGACTGACCCAAAAATCTGCAGACTAGAGCCGACCAGCTCAGACTCAGCCAGACTGAGAACCGGGGCTAAAATCGGGGCAAAAGTCGTGTAGTGCAACCCCGGCTTTAGGCTCACCCAAGGCGACCTCGCTGACTCACTCAACTGTGACGGAGGTCCAGAGCCAGAGAAATTGAACACACCGTAACTCGGTGACAATATGAGTAACTGACTTCAAACTTTCCAGATTTACAGGCCATTATGCCACCTCTCCCACAACACACGACGTTTTATTGTAGTCTTCGGGAAACTGGAGATAATGAAGTTCAGAGTCTGATATGTGAAGTACTGTAGATCAGTGGAGAAATGTTAGGAAAACGCGCCACAGGCAGAGCGTGATGTGCCCTTTCCTACAAGCTCTGGATCTCATTGCTAGCCTTCAGGAAACTGGAGATAAGGACCCTGAAATCACCAGGCTCCTCACCTGTCTTCTCTGAAACATCTATGTCATTAGTGTTATAGTTAGCTGACTAGTCTGTGCCACTCCTATTAATAACATCTATGGAATATGTTTAAAATAGGCAAATTATAGCTAGTTTAGTTAAATACATCATACATTTATGCTAACTATAAACCTCAGCTGAGAGCACAACAAACTGCACTGCTTTCCACATGGCCTTTAACCCTTGTGTTGTGTTGATGTGTTTATTACTCAGTGGTCTGGTGGACCCACCACATTATTGCTTTTAAATCGATACAGCCATAATGATTTATGTGAAAACACCAGATGTTTAAAATATCACAAGTGCCCAGCGTAGGGTTCTCCTTTAGCAGCTGTAGCCAGTCAGCAGCCTGTCCATGTTGTCCACCCTCACACACCCACACACATATACAAACACATACACACACAGACACACACACACACACTAACAGCAGGCCATGTAGGAGGAGAACAGAGTGAAAAGATGCCTCGGTATTGTACATATATGCTCAGTGAGAAATTCATAATAACATGACTTATAACATAAAAGCTGTAGCCTACTTGAATAGGATGACTACAGTCATGGCCTCTATAGCAATATACATATATATAGCAGTATACACTACTGTCGTTGCTGATTGGATGAATTTTAAACTCCAGGAACGAACATAATTAAAATGTTGTTTAATCATAAAACATAAATATTATTGTTTTTCTGGATGAGAATGAGTCTTTGAGTACTAACGAGTATTCAAAGCCTGTAAATTTCTGTTCAGGCCAGCCCGATATGAATCTCTCAAACACCTCAAGCTTCTGCTGAGCATCAAACCCAATCTCATCTGGTCCGTGATGTGACAGCGTGACCCCCAACGCCTCAGTCCTACTGTGTCTCTCAACGCTGCCTAACAGCTCTGATGAAAGGTAGAGATGACCACCTGCATTGGGCTCAAATGGCCACGCTGAGCTGGGCCACAGCACCACGTTCCGACTGGGCAAATGAAGCCGAGGGATGGATCTGATACGGCTTTGATATCTTCAAAGCTGGACCTGCTGTGGGAAATGTTCATTTGTGACATGAGTGGGCGAGCACAGAGAGAGAGAGAGTGGGAGACGGTAGACAAATGGGCAGTCGGGTCACGGGGGGCGGTGGGGGTGGTGGGGTGAAATGGGCTCTGCCTCCGATCTTCTGAGGAAACAAATATCCAGGGAAAGTCAAGAAGAACAGCCAAAGTGGGATTCATAAATTGTAATTATTATGAATGTGCGCAAAGAGGGCCAAAGTGTACCCCAGCTGTTCTAGAACCAAGATGTTCTGTCTGGTAGGTAGGGAAGCCCTACTTGCATAGATATTTAGACAAGAAAGATCATTAAACAGCTTTCTGGAAAAAAAGACCACCATTACTGTCTGTGACTAACAGAATAAATTCGCTAGTGCGCAGGTTAAGGCATAACTCAATTGAAAACCCCCCAACAGAACCAACCTTTGTGGCTTTTCTTTGTTTTTGCGGCTCCTCTTTATCATCTTCTGTTTCTGTTTCTATTTTTTTTCCCCAAATAGGAGTACAAAGGATCACTAATGCCTCTTTATTTTATTTCACTAAGAGCCTTGAAAGCATGACGGGACCTCGCTGGCTGATCAAAAGGCTTCCATCGCCCCCTCTCTCCATGCTTAATATGACTAATACTCGGCCCTGCAGAGCTCTTTATTTGGTAATATTGAGGATCCCCATTAAGCGGCCAAATTGTGCAGATGATTCACAGATTCTCTCCAGCGATATCTGACGTTTCAGGTATTAAGCGCAGCCTAGCCTCCACATACTCCAAAACTCCTTTATTTGAGTGATTTTTCTTTATTAGAGGTTGTGAGTAATGGGATTATGACTGCACAGCCTCTCTAGTCAGTCAAATGGAGCAGCAGAATAGCCTGTGGAGAGGGCAGGCTCAGCAACTGTGGAGTCCGTTACTACGTACCGAACGTGCTGCATCTGTTGGACGTCCTCTGAATGAGCGCTGACCATGTTACTAGATGCTGTCTACACCTTTTCAGATCACTCCTCGAGGGCCTTTGAAGGCGATCTCAATGCGGGGAGTTGCAGCTGCGCTTGATCAAGTTTGCCATTTATTTCCACACGTTTTGGCTTCCCCTCTGATCAACAGCTACGGAGTTCCTTTTCATCGCCGGCCGTCACGGATCTGAACGTGTCGCCGAT